CTTCCTTCCCCAGAAATGGCCAGCCCTAAAGTCCCCACCATATCTGCCCCTCCCTGTTAAGACCGTGATGCTCCGGCCCACTCCCGTGTCCGTAATCCCTCCACCCACCCCCATAGCCCCCGCGTTTCCCGACAGGCCCATCGAATCAATCATCCTGCGGCTGGGATTAAGCCCAGGCCCCCCTGACACTTCTGCAGAGCAATCAGTGCAGGGGGTACTCGGTTGCGGTCCCAACCTGCTCAAACAACACAGTCACATCAGCAATCACTCCCCACTAACAGTTTAAAAACACAAAAGTTACAATAATAATAGGAATTAAAAAGTGGGCACACCCATCTACAATCATACCATACACACCACATTCATAAAAACCCACTCTCTGTTGTAACTATCTAGGTTTAGCAGCCTTTTCAATACAGTATTGTGTCTGTAAACTGCAGCTTCATAAATGCAACTATTCTGACTGGTTATGTGGTCCAAAGATTGAATGTGTTTCATTTGGCTCAGGCGTTAGATGAATAAATGCCACACCTTAGGAGTGTCTATGGGAGAGGTACCATGCATGCCTGGGCAGATACATCACACCACTTTGTTCACATAGAAAAACCCATCCCAGCTTACAGTATCTCCCCCTTCTTTATTGCTTTATACTGTAGGACACTTGATTTGTTTGATATATCTTTATCATTTTTAAAAATTCTATTGTCTTTCTCTGCAAAATACCATTGTCCCAGGATGAAGTGTTATCGGCATTCATTTCTTTTACTTTCAATTATCTGAATTTTTATTGCTGAAATAATGGCTTTTAAAGGTGTAACCTTAGTTTGGGCAATTTTATTCTATCCCACTCCAATCACCTCAGAGATAATATGAAGAGAAAATGGCATTCCAATTATAACACACTGTTCTAAAATTATGTCCACGTGGCCCACATATAAAGTAGGGGATGCTTTTAAGTTTTGTCAAAGTGAATTTCCAGTGGTGGAAGCTGATCATATTTTCATCTGCTACCTTTTGTACAATGCAACTCTGTCTGTGACAATAAGATACTACATTTGGTGATCATATAAATATGACTTTAAAGTAAAATGTACCCCTAATGATTTTGCATCAATTTCTCTTATGAGATCTACATAACTATGGAGTGCTACTCACCCAAAGGGTGGTGCAGCCATAGCTCAGCTCAACTGGAAAGGAACTCCCACATTCTTCAAGCCCTACTCTGTCTAATCATCACTGTCACGTTAGTATGTGAGATGCAGCTGAAAAGGGCAGGTACATTAGGAAAAACAAAAGGACCGTGGAAATCGTTCTAGCTACTCATATCCCTTATTACCTAACTTGCAAAGTGATGAAGCTAGTCCAAATTGAAGTGCCACTGAGCCAGTTCTATGTCACTCATCAGAGAAAAAGAAATCTTCTGTTTCTCTTCCCAATGCTGAGTTACTCTGTAATTCTGATGAAAGCAGTAAGAGATCCTGCAGAAGGTACTCTTTGCTATGCCTTGTGTGTTCACCAGTTCCTAGGAAGAAAAAGTTTCTTGGAATCCTCTAGATACGTTAAATATATGGAGCCTAGTCCATTGTGTCCCTTATTATTGTTTTTCCTTCAAGGCCCCTGTGCTGTTTGCTTGCTTTCAACTTCCCTATCCTGTAACTTATTTGTTAGCATATTTTGTTTCTTAGGCTCAAGTCCTAAGGCTTTTAAATTCCCATTAGTGAACCCTGTCATTGGGCAACCTGTTGGGTACACACATTCTGCCCAGTAGAGATTGAGTGCAGACTGTAAATCCTCTGCATACTTTCCAGGGTTAGAGTCTGCAATTCACAGGCTGAAGAAAGGAATAGGGGGTGGGGGGTGTTGGATGTGATGCAGGTAAAAGGAATACCTTATAGCCCATGATTCTTCTCAGAAAAGACATCTTCAACATTTTCAATTTCATTTTTCTGCAGCTTACGAGACAACAAACGTTTTGATGGCTAGATTTAAATACACCCAACCATTCAGTTTCTACTGATATTGGGCAAAATTAATTCTTTAGAAAGAACTACCGTAATCAGCATCTACCTATAGGATATAAATCGATTTAAGAAACTAAGATCAGGATTTACAGAGTGAATGCAACAATACCAACAACCTCTTTTGGGAGGCCCTCCTTGAAATAATATTCACCTTCCTTAATTTTCTGAAACCACAGAGATGGGCTACACTTACCTTAACCAGTTCACTGGTTGTGAGCATGTGCGCATGCGCTCATGTGCTTCGCTTGCACTCACCTCTTTGGGGATGAAACGTAGCTTCAAAAATGCAGCTAATCAACCCAGGCAGCTATGGTGAGTACAACAGGCATGGCACAGAACTCAGCTGGGCAGCATGGGCAGGGGGAACGAGCCAGAAAGTTAGTTATAAATGGAAAGGATGGGGAAGGGGCGGGGCGGTCGGCCCAGCCAATGATTACAACTACCGGTTCGCCAGAATCAGTCTGACCAGGCAGCAGCCTACCACTGGATATTGTTAGTACTGGCAACAATGCTGAGTTTTGCCAAAAGATACTTCTTTGCTGCTTTAAATTGTTCTTTATTCATCCTCTAAGGGAAGGGGGGATCCCAGGTCTGAACTATGTTTAAGACACTGTTAAAATTCAACTCCCACAAAGCCCCACAGGTTTCCCAGTCTTGCCTTAAGCAGTCAATGTTTAGAGCTCTTGTAGAGAACTGCCCAATATGCTAAAGCATTTTTAGTATACTGGGCAATGGTTGAATTTTTAACAGTAATTATAACCTCTGTGTGCTAATCCATTTTCTCAATTTTCAACAAATCTGCACCTGTCATTTGATCAGGACAGTATGTCCACATACTTAAGTTGTTTGTGTTGTTTATTTTTTATTTTTAAGCCATTTAATAGTAATTAATACCAACCCTACAAATTCTTTTACTCATTAAGCAACAGACAAAAAAGTTTTATTGATGAATTTTAATAATATCACATACTTTTGAGCATGCAATTAAGAAACATGGAAAATTATGCCAAAGCACAATAGATGTTTTGCTTTCAACTTGCCATTGTAATTATTGATTTACCTTTTAATTAAACCTTGAACATTATGCAGAACATGGAAGCCACACAATTCCTACAGCGAACAATCTAAGGCGACAGTTTTATGTATTTTTACTTGGGAATACGGTTTGAATTAAGAAACAAGTCTATAGGACAAGGGTGACTTTGTGACCTGTGAACTTTAACTGGACTTTAAGCCAGCCAGGAATTCTGGGAGTTGAAATCCACAAGTCATAAAGTTGCCATAGTTGCTCACACTTGCTGTAAGAAGTCAGAATATATGGCAAAAAAATGAGTACCAGCTGACCCTTAGTATAATAGATAATGTATGTATGTATGCATGTATGTATGTATGTATATATACATATACATATACATATACATATACATATACATATACATATACATA